GGAATAGTGTGTTGAAATAGTAAACTAATCAAGAACACTTTAAAATCTCATCGACTTGTGTGATTGGGACATGTTTGTGAATAATTAACCACTGTCTACCCACACGTGCAATCTTAGTCAACATAGAATTTAGATCAAAACTCGTGATGATTGAATCAGGGGATTATATCGAAATGATTGACTCGTGGACTGCACTATGGACGCTACATATATACTTCCAAATTGCAATCTGAGAAATAATCGGCATTTGTGATTGAAGATTTTGACGATCAAATCTGCTATTATCAATCTCCACTGTCGTGTCACATTCATTTGTCACCATTATTTGAATTTAACATGGAATCCTATACAACACAAATCACTGTTCCATCTTTCTCGTTCCAATTCATCACTGTTCATACTATTTCTCTTCCTATACTTCTCGAGTGTTTCATTTTGTGACACTGTCCTAACCAAAGGAGACAGACTTGTTGATTCTTGTCCATCCTCCGATTCATTTTACCAACTTTCTCATTCTTATACTCACCTGCCATTATCTCTCGTTAACTCTTCTCATCATTTTCAGTGATTTTGAATAATTCAGTGTGATACCCAAATGGTTCACATTTGTTTGTTGTATGGTTTTTGTTGTTTTCAATGACCGATTTGAAAGCTCATTGTTTTCACAAGCTAACAAGTGATCAATATAATTGATTCGTTGGACTGACTAAATAATATGTGCGATAAAATAGAACTGAGGAATCAGTGAGAAATATTATCAGACTACATGGGTGTGTATTTCACTTTTCATTGGTGCCGTTGCTCTTATCCAACCAGTTTATCACTACAGTTTACATAACAGAGTGATTGCAGTTAGAGAACCATGATGTCAGTAAATACCGAATAGCTCGTTTTTCTTCGGAATCGGTTTCAAAGAACTCACTAAACCATTGATTTTCAGTCATTTCGCTTAAGTTCCCCAACTAGGTAGTTTAAACTTTCACGTATGGTTCAGACCAACAGTCTTAAACTTCAGATAATGATAATTTATTGGTTTTGTAACGTCTGGCCTTATGTCAACTGATTATTATATCTCCAACGTCGTGCATCGGGATGGATGTTTATTAGTCATGTGTAATAGGTGTCTCACTCCCTACACCAATGAAGATTTTCTGTCTCATCAATTCGCTTGTCGACTTCATCTATGCCCTCAGCCTAACATCAGTACTGATCACTCGAGGTATGTATTTTACACTTTGTAGTCATTAGTGATCAGATAAAAATAATCTACTAATTTCTTCTATTTTAAGTCCCATGTTTCATAGCTATAAAGTAGACCGAAAAAGTTGTTGCTTGGTACACTCTTCCTTTGGTTAATAGACGAACGTCTCGTTTACATCAGAGGTGATAAGAGTTGGCAATGTCTTTTTAATGAATATACGAGTATTTAGCCTGTGTCATAGGAGCATTTGACAAAAACTGAAGTGACTGATTTTGGAGATAGCAAATCTGTTAATAAGAATTTGAACATTCTCTAACTGATGTGTATGAAGCAAGTGTGTTATGCACACCTAACTACCGATTACTCAAACGTGTAATCCTTGCTAATATACGAGTACGTTTGAAATTTAGATAACACAAATTTATTAATGCATAGTGTATTGGTTGTTTGAATCTTTCCATTGAAGTTAAGGAATGCAACTGAACAGTCTCTTATTGACATGTGTGCACCCTGTGAGGACTACCTCGATATTGCCCTACGCCACAAGCCCTATAAATAGATGGAAACTCACTTCCTGGATTACACTGCTAACCACCGTCCATTACAGCTAATAAATTCACAAAGTTTCTGAATGTTCGTCTGAACAAGATATAGAAGCGTCGCCATCCTGGGTAACGGGTTTTGAGATAATATTAACCTATGGTTGAAGACAAACATTTCCTTATCTTCATTCAGACCCGTTTATCTATACACATCGAAAAGTTTCTATAATTTCCAATCTCATGTTTGTTTTCACGATGCAACTGTACACTCACTAGTGACTGTCACTTAGAAATTAATCAATTTTTATCGGCATCAAATCACTAAATGTCTTATGCAAGATACGCCCATTTTAACTATTAGTTTAATCAATTAGTCGATCAGAATATAAAACCTGCAACAAATATGTATCGACCCTAATCACTACAATTCACCTCGAAACTGCACAAGAAAGAAAATCAAATAAATGAAAGGTGAAATAGTGGGAAAATATTTTTAAATACAGTTAAAATGATGATTTTGATAGAAAAATGAAGAGTATGCGATGATATCGAAACACAAGTTATCAGTCAGTCAGCTACAACGTAGGAATAGACATATATGTGCATCGGTCCAAGTTGACATACCGCATTAGCACAACAAGATGAACACCGGATTCATAGGAGTAGTTAAGTCAATGGTGGTAATATATAAAAGAAAGATTGCATATAAGGATGTAGTACAAGAAGAAAGAATTAGTATATAGAAAGAAAGATATGTAGTGATTTTAATCTCATATTTTAAGGGAAGACAGAGAGTGTTTACACATACGCCATTGTGATCGGTTGTGATCCATGTCATCCAGAGTCTCCAATCGTTGGTTACGATAGTCACACGGACCCCAACTAAGTAGTCTGCATCTACCAACATGGCTCATACTAGAAGTTAGTGACTTTGTGGACTGATGCCATACCATCCCCTACACTAGTCAGCACTGTGCGTCATGGCATTCGGTGTTCAGCCATACGCAACACGTGGCCCAACCATTTCAGTCGATGAAGATTCACAACCTCACCAACTGATTTACCATCATTCCCTAATACTCTGCGTCTAATCTCAGTATTACTAACCCGGTGATCCCAGGGGATGCGAGCAATATTTCTAAGACATCTGTGGTCAAATATTAGTAGCTTACGAATATCTACTCAGCAATATTATCATGGATTCTAAACTATGCCAGGCAACGTTTCCGATCATAAGAATAATATCATCTCGTGAATCAATCATTTGGGAAATTTACACATCTGTAAACAGTTCAAATTATTAATCAGTGACTTATAGTTGTATAAAGTCAATGTTTAAACGCTTCCCTAACTACCATCATATCTGTAATCAGTTGAAATTCGAAGTATTGTCTTGTGAACTTGATAATAAAACACAAATATCTGAATTGTGAAATTTGACCATTCAACTAATTAATTAAATATTATGAATAAAGAGATAAATAGAATACTTCTAGTCAACTTATTATCTTTGAGCCATTTACGGTCATGAGTAATATATACGAACATATCTGATGAATTGGCTTTGTTCACAGGATCTGTTAACCAGCTCCATAGTCTAAAAGAAAAACAACCTAAACAATACAAATAGAATTTATGATTAATAAGAGTTTGAACTAATACGTTGTTGATTATTTATTATTTTATTTTATTTTTATTTGAACACATAAATATTGGCACAAGAGGGCACCAAATATATATGCGCCACACAAAACAATGAGAATTTAAGGGGAAGGAGAAAAAAAGAGATTGATGTAAGTTGGTGTAATAATAATAATAATAGTAATAATTGGGGAAACGGAAAGGTACAATCGGAAAAAATCTTTCAGTTAAGGGAGACACAACCACTTTTTATGAAGAAAGTAAAAGGTTACAGCACGATCGCCACTGGCTTCTATTCTGAGCCATATCTGATAACGTCTTTAGCCACTGTGTAGCACCATCTCTCAGGCCCCAACCAGGGAGTCGTGAAGGACCAACACAAGCAAGCCCTTTACAGCTTTCTTTCATACCACGACACCATGTCATACACTGACTAACTCTCCACTTTTTCCAACCAGTCCCAGAGTCGGCAAATAATGCACGACCTAGAATTCTCTGGGACAACACTTTTAGAACATATCCAAGCCACCGAAGTCGGTGTTTCAAGATGGTGACACCAATTGAATTATCATCTCTGTGCCCTAACACACGATGCTGAACCTTTGCATTACTAACATAGTGTTGCCACTGGATGTCAGCAATCCTTCGGAGACAACGATGATCGAACACAGAGAGTCGTCTAACGTCCTCAACTCGGAGAGACCAGGTTTCACAAGCATAGAGCAAAACTGCTCTCACCGACGCGTTGTAGATCCGACTTTTTACAGCCAGACTAACATCACGAAGGCGCCAAAGATGGCCCAGATTGGCATAAGCCGCTCTGGCTTTCACTATACGTGCATTGATCTCATCACTCACACCCCCACCAGCACTCATACAGCTACCCAGATACACGAACTTCTCGACTATTTCTATCTGCTCCGTTGTTGAAAGTTAGGATTGATGGAATTTCAATTTAGGAAAATTGGTCACAAATTTCTAACATGAATAGATACTAATATAATTATAGAAATATTCCTTTCATTTATATTGTTGCTATTCATAATTCATATAATGAAATCGATCAAAAATAAAATTACAAAACTATCAAGGATATTCTATAAAGCTATGAATCATAGAAAAGATCGAGAACTAGGTGAAATTTCTTTGAATGGAATAAATAATTATTGGGACTCAGTGAGAAATACACTGTACCTCTTTTAACAATAATTTATAAATGACTTATAAATAGACATACATATATATATATATATATATGACGAAAAAATTCGCTAAAAATTTCCTTCAGACACACTAGTCATTTATTTGGTTTTGGCAATATACAATTTTAACTAAGTCCCATCCCCATATGTTAAGGGGTTAGAACAAACACTGATTATAGACGAGGTAGCGTGAAAAATTAGAAAAACGTTCGCCAGTACTCGAGGCTGATTTTTTCATTGAGACTTTGTGTTACTGAAATACTTTGTTTTGTCCTAATTTTTCATTGGCTAAGGTACCCCAATGGTTGTTGAGAGAACCATATAGAGACACGTAGCGATTGGTGTGTCTAGTTATGTGTGTATATTTACGACAATTAAGCCTTGACAGAGAAAGAGAGAGAAAGGAGGGACCACGTACAATGAATTTAGCCTGATCCAAGATGGCTCTCTCATTTTATTTGTCTCTCATTCACTAGTTGTTTTCATGTCTGTAACAAACATGCCGAAAATTAAACAACAGGCTCCGCGGCCTAAGTGCGGTCATAAGCTCAGGTTAGTAAAGCAAGAGACCACGCTCTATGATTGGTTAAAATTAACTAACTTAGCATAAACCAATCAGAATGATAAACTGCGACCTGCAGTTCGATTTACCGACCTTGGTTTTTCTTTCGTCCTTTGTAAACTAGCTGTCACTAAAACATAAAGAGGGTAGAGAATAGAAGGAGAATTATTTGGACCCCTCATTTATTTTAGGGCGTGAACAATTTTATTTTCCCATTTACAGAGAAAACTAATCTGCCTTATCGCCCCGCGTGGGTGATACATGATAACACTAATGAAATGTTCGATTTTTAAACCGGTTAGATACCCTCACATGAAACCAATGATTGTAGAATTTCTATGCTTGGATTTAACTGTTATTATTTTAAACAATATTTCAAATATCCTGTAACTCGGATTACAAATTAGCATTTGGAGTTTCACTAAAAATACATACAACTATATTTGTGGATATTTTAAATCAAAATCACAATCATGCTTCATCGACCTACTCTCATGCCTGCATCAATGAAATCATCCTCAAAATTCAACTTATCTACTAATTTAAAACATTCATCTCAATCAAGTAAAATAGAAAGTCCAGAATTGATTCAACTACTTAACTGTGGTGATGATGATGATGAAATAGTTATTGTAGAACCTACAGATCCAGATGAAGATCGCATGAAACAGGAAGATACAACATTTAATGATGTATTAAACAAAGAACAAGAAGATTATGCGGAGGAAGATTACAATGGGAATGATGGAGATATGAATTCGGATGACTCTCATATGAAAGGTGAATCTCACATCCCAGTGTCAAATATTAAAGTGGATGAAGCCACTGGAAATGGAACTCCAGTGACCGTAACCACAGATTCGGTTAAACCTATTGGAATTTTACCTCTGAATGATGTGATTCACAATTTACTCACATGTACACCACATGTTGCTCCCACCATACAAAATGTTGCACTTCAACCTATACTGTCGGGTAAAATGAATGGATCGGGAAGTGTGCAAATGCCGAATGTTGTTTCCAATGCATTGCCTACATTGTGGCTTCATTCTCCTGTTGTGAATTCAACGGAAATGATGAGTATGCCTAATGTGAATAGTGTGACAGATTTGACGAGTAATATTGTACAGAATAGTGGGACTGCACTGAATCCACTTGTTGCTGCTGTGCTTGTGAATTGTGCCACAGTGAACATGATAAGTCAGCTAGCTGGATCTATGTGTACTCCGCTGGTGAACAGCAGTATGATCGATGGTAATGTTAATGGTAGTAATGTGAACAACAATGGTAACCACACTAGTAGTGCTTGTAGTGTTAGTAGTGGTAGTGTTGGTGTTAGTAGTGGTAGCAGTGGAGTCAACACAGTAACAATCCCTACAGCGTCATTACTTCCCAATTTGTTATCTGCTATTCCTTTGTCTACGTATATATCGGGATTAGGACTGAATACAACTGGAGGTATAATTACTTCACCAAATAGTTTGTGTAATGTTGGTGTTACTAGTACAGCTGTCTCGTCTGCTGAAACCCTTAATAATAATAATAATAATAATAATATTGGTGGTATGATTGTGACACCATCGAATGTTGAGAATATTACAGTTTCTTTATCATCTGACCGAAGTTCTAGTCAAGCTGAATACTTACATGTGTCTGACGAGAAAAACACTCAGCGTCCTGTTGGACGTGTTAAACGCTTCAAATGTCCTATGGTTAATTGTCAAATGTCATTTCACAGTAGATTCAATCAAATGGAACATATACGTACACATACTGGTGAGCGTCCATTCACTTGTCCAGAACCTCATTGTACTTCAACATTTAAACGTAGACGTGATCTTCGTGATCATTGGAGTATGCATCTCTTAGATTGCCCACCATCAGCTACATTGACTGAAGAAGAATTCAATAAAGCATTGAAAGAAGCTGATGAAAAATATAACGCAATGTATAATTGGGAAACGTTCAATGTAAACGCTTCAGTTAATAAAGATAATATTACTGGTAGTAGTAATAATAATAGTAATGACAACAATAATGATGTAAATACTGTTAAGTCCGAATCATCTCAGTCATCCGTGGTAATTCCTGACCCCAGAGCACTGTTTAACATTAAGTCTGTTAGTGAATTGGGTAGATATCATTGTACATATCCTGGATGTGATAAATCGTATGCTAGACGGCATCGCTTGAACCAACATATATCAACACATACTGGGACTGGTCCGATACCGTGTGATGCACCGAATTGTAATGTCAGGTACTTTTCAGAAGAGGATTTAAAGAGGCACAAATTATCTCATCTTTATGCGGCTGATAAGGATTCACGGCGTCGACATGCTTGTACATATGCTGGATGCGGTAAAGCCTATTCAAAGCTAAACAAGCTCAAAGAGCATTTACGATCACATACAGGTGAAAGGCCCTACGTCTGTCGTGAACCTGGTTGCGGTGCTGCATTCATCCGATTATACGGTGTTAAACGTCATGAATTAACACACGTATTCGGCCGTAAACGTGCTGAAAGACTGTCTCAAATCCCTAACACTAATAGTATGACGGGGACTAGTTTTGATATTTCTGACCCAAGGTTGGATATTCAGAACAATCCAGAAATAACTACTAGTTCACCATATATCTTACCAAAGCCGGAACCATTGGAAACAAGAAATGAGATATCGATAGCACCAGCTGTTATGAAAAATCGTCCTCTCCCAGCTATTGCACCAAAATCGAGTGTATCTCTTCCGATGCGTCCGATTTCTCCTATAAGTGGGAATCCAGGAATGAGACGACCACATATCTGTCCATTTAAAGAATGCGGTAAAGCATTCCCAAAACTGAATAAACTGCGTGAACATATATGTCGACATACAGGTGAACGACCATTTGTGTGTGATCAATGTAAAGCTTCATTTGTCCGTATGTATGATTTACGTCGTCACAGCAATATCCACATTCGTGGTGCACAACCAAGAAGTTTGTCACGTTTTCTCACAACTCCACAACAAACAAATGAAACACTTCAATCTATTGTCACAAACAGTCAAATTTCTGTCAGTACTGCTCCCAATACTGCTACTATTACTACTACTCACACCACTTATACTACTGCTGCTACTACTACTACTAGTACTAATACTATTCCCACTGTTATTACGACAGTTTCTGCAACCAGTCTTATTTCAGATACTACAAATTCCACCATCTCTACTGTTCCTGTTTCGATCAGTATTCTCAAAGTTGGAGAAGAGTCAGAACTAATCAAAATGGAAGAATTTATTGAACAATCAACAAGTCTACAACCATGTGATACTGATGATCAGGTAACAGATTGTATTGATAAATAGTGTCACTCACCTTGGATCATTTGATTTTGACGATTATTTAATATAAACGGAATGATCAATAACATTTTTGTACAAAAAATTATCCACTATTAGTTGTCGCTAACGATGCAGTAATAATGATTGTAGTTGACTCATTAATTTGTAGTGCTTTTTTTTACAAATGCCATTCATTCATTAACCAACCAACTATTTGTATGTTCACCAATTATTAGTATTATCATTTTTCTGGTATTTCATGTGACCTTGTAATTTCATTGACTTGTTTTTCATTTGATTTTATCGATAAATTAATGTCTGATTTTAATTTCTTGCCTATCATAAAGTATTCATTATTTCTTGATTCATTCTTGACAGTCATAACTGGTTTCTTACTGATATATATATATATGCATTACGATGTCATTATTTCTTTATTTCGTTTGGAATATTTCACAATGTGAGAATCCAACCATTATGTAAGTGATGTAGTCTTAAGCAACTTGATGTAGTTTCATTCAATTTTTTTCAGATTTATCTTAATTGGCGTACTATTGGAAACGAAGGAGTACTGGATAACAGTTTCATTTTAGTATGGGACACCTCGACAAAACCCATCTACGACCTCATTAGATATAGGAGGCGTAACCTTCAAATCTTGTGATGCATGTTTAAAGATTAGAATTACCAGGTTACCGTTAAGTGCTGTGGTTACGACTTCAGTCAATTTTCTAGTGTTAAAATTATCCAATGCTATTTGTGTAAAATCCACAAACCCTGTACAAAGATGGGTAGTGATTGTGTATAACCTTATGTGGTGTTGTTATTGATTTTTAGCCTTTGTCGATCTCTTATTTTCTAAGTCACTCGAGTTACTTTGGTTGGATGACTCATAGTTTATTGACCTCTAGATTGGTTCATTTGTAATATTTGTTAAACAGATGACCTTCCTTAATGGGTGTATCGTATTTAATGTGAATTATATATGGTCAGGACTTCGGTTTTTTAAAAAAAATAAAATTTGGTATTTATGCTTAATGCTTTTATGGATGCGTACACGTACAATGAAGACATTTTAAACTCTTGACATATCACTGGCAATTTACTACTTCGTTACTCCTCAAGCCATAGTAGAGTATTTTACGGAATGAACAACATAAAATTTTAAAAGACAGTTATGGGAGTGGGTGAGGTGGCGCTTCTATATGACTCTCGATGATTTTTGACGTAAGAAACTTTGAATCTACTATTCACCAGTTGAAATTCGAGTTATTTAACTTCAGTGAACTACAGCCCATACATTTGTTCAGCAGTTTTGTTTACTTTAAATAATCTTAAAAACATCATGGTGTATTGCAGGAAAAAATACTTCGAAGAATTCAACAATAAGTTCCCTTGTATAGTCTTGTTTTCCTTTATATTCAGTTTGTTGTGTAAGTTACATTATGAAACAATTTTCTGGAGTGGTTGAAGGCTGTCTGCAGGCGACCCTAGATTTAGAACTAGACAAAGATTGATCAGTACGCAGTGATCAGTCAGTCCTACAGGAGGTAAGTTACGGCCCGAATAACCCAGTGGTAACGTCTTAGATTGAGAAACTGGGTGACAGTTTCATATCCACCAGTGTGGACCTGTTCCCTCAAGATTCCACATATGCCTTGGTAGCTATTACTGGCTAGTATGCTACTTAGGTCAAGTGGGGTTTTCTGTTGACTACCTTCAACGACCTTAAATTTCGGCATAGTGCATGCGATGTTCAGTCGTTTAAACTAATGATTACATTGTTACTTGGTCTATAACACTTGATTACCATTAGGGGAATAGTTAAACATGACATCGATCACCAGTCAGTGATCAGTTGACTGTTATTCAGTGAGTTTCATAATATTAACTAAACAATTACTTTTTTTTCAAGTTTTTCTCTATTATGATTCGTCTGGTAGTTTCAAGTACTCTGTTGATCGTGAGGTTCTATGGCAGTGTTTTCCACTGAAAGGAGTACCAAAGAAGTACATTAACCTTGTAAAGGCTCTCTACTCGAACACAACTGGTCGAGTGAAAGCTTATGGCGAACTGTCATCAGAATTGATTACCTCAAGTGGTGTTCTTCAGGGCTGTCCACTGTCTCCATTCTTGTTTAACTTTGTCATTGACGTGCTTTTAGAGATAACACTTTCCAGGGGTTGAACTTCTACCGGGAGGTTCACTTGTTGACTTAGAATATGCAGATGACATAGTTCTATTTGGTGAAGACGCTGACAAAATGCAGAGTCTTCTGACCACTCTAAGCAACAATGCAAGCATGTTCGGCATGTGATTCATTCCCTCGAAATGCGAAATGTTGCTTCAGGATTGGGTTGCATCGACACCCGAACTAATGATAGGGAGTAAAGTAGTTGAGCGTGTCTATCGCTTCACTTATCTTGGAAGTCTCATCAGCCCTTGTGGTCTGGTGTGCGACGAAATCTCAGCATGGATACAGAAGGCTCGACTAGCTTTTGCCAACTTACGTCACTTATGGCGTAGGCGAGATATCCGCCTACTAACCGAAGAACGGGCTTACTGAGCAGCAGTTCGTTCCGTCCTACTTTATGGCAGTAAAACATGGCCGGTAAGTGCGGAGGATGTTCGTAGGTTACTAGTATTCTATCATGTGTCTTCGGAGCATTGCTCGTATATCCTGGGACCATCGAGTAAGTAATGCAGTTGTTAGGAAGCGGGTACTAGGTAAGAATGGCAAATCGATTGATGAAGTGATGAAACTTCGTCAGATAAGATGGCTGGGATACGTGTTACGTATGCCCAACCACCGACTGCCCCGACCTGCGGTGTTTTATGGTGTAGGAGTAGGTTGGAAGAAACCTAAGGGTGACCAGACCAAAACATGGCACAAATCGATGAAGTCACTGATAAGTGGACTGAGCCATGTTGGTAGTTGTAGACTACCTGGTTGGGGACTGCGAGATGATAGCAACCGATGGTTAGAGACCTTGAATGTGACATGGCTCAAAGTCGTTTGCAATGGCTCAGGTGCATCCACTCTTTGTGTTCTTTCAAATTCTAATCTTCTGAATTCTTCATGTCCCTTTCCATTTTATTCTCTGCAAATTTATTTAACTGGATTATACTCCTTGAATAACATCTTCAAACCCTAATCTTTCCGATTACTGCTTATACTCTTACTACCTCTACGACTATGGGATTTGAATTGACAATTTTATCTGTGTGCTAATGTAGTATGGCAACTCGAAGTGATGTACGTACGTACGAAGTTCCACGTTGTTGTTATTGACTGACTGACTTCCAAGTACTTGTTTGAATATACCGAAGATATGAGAAAAAACAAACTAATGAACATTTATAACAATTTTACTAAGTCATATAATATTATGGATGGTGAATTTTATATTGACAAGATTAACTCATTTCGATAGACAGCAATGTTGTAGTGTGATCATTGGGAATTCATCATGTAGAAAGAAATGTAAAAGTGCAAATAAATATTTAAAAAGTGTTAATTTATACTGTGGTTAGGAAAGGTATCCAGACTTTCATGTGAATATGCTTTAAATTTCTGAAAAGCCTAACTTTAAATGAAGTAAACAAAGTTATTTACTTTAAGACCCTATTACCTGAATCGTCAGTAAATGTAAGTTGCATTCTTTCATATATTGTGACAATTTTATGCTTTCATTTCGGTTATCTTCGCAAATCCCCATTTCCTATTCAACTTTATGAAAAGGTTAAAGTCAGGTCAAATATGAAAGACGAATGATGTTTTCCTACAGTTTATAGATACAGAAGTATACAAGCTTATCGACTAGTTATACCAAATAGGTTCATTGTGAGCTATTGTTTTGTAAATAAATCAATTAAAATACATTGTTCACTGTTAATGGAGAGTGCGATATGCTTTTTAGGGGATTTTAATAAATCCAATTTACACTCAAGATTGGTTGACTCATTGAAAAGTTATTATCTACAAGGTTGTCTCAATTTCTGCAAAGCAAACATGGAACCTATTTCTAATAATCTAATGTATTTTATAATGCATAAATAAGATTGTGTCGCTTGTCGAACACGATGCTAACATGTTTATGGGTTTTTCTAAAATACATGGAAAGATATTTAGAAGTCGATGACGTTTGTCTGAACTCCATCATCACTTAATTATCCAATATTTAAAATTACTATTCCATAAGTATGACTTCAAATGATTGGGACTTTGTGAATGAGTGTTAAAACCGATTAATCATTGTACAACGTAAAAAAAAACTAGTTCAGCACACTGACCAACTATTCTATGTAAGTACTAGTATACAGTTCTAGAAAATTTCAACCTCATTCTATCTATATTCTTATTTACCAGTACTAAATAAAGTATTTACATCGGAAGAACGAAGAGGAAAGCTAGCATATCGAAGCACATCCCACAACAGTTGAAATTTCAAAATCGTCCAAAATAATCAATACTCAAGCCACCTCGAATTTCCTATGTTTATCAGTGGTTAAAACCGAATCTATGCATTGCAAAACATACTGTTGTAAATTTCGCACTACCCTGGTAACTTCTAGCTTATTATAGTTTAGTCGTGTAATATTCTATTTCATGTTCTAAATTACAAATTCTTTTCATTTCTACGTCATTATTTTTAGCTTTACTCATTTTACTCTTGATGTGTCCAGTTTTACGGTTGTTGTTACGTAACTTGTAACGTCGATTTTCATTTTCATTTTATGGAAACCTGTCTCTATATGTTTTAGAATTTTCATATTTGATTTATAGTTGTCATTATTTTATTAACCTTCATTAGTATGATATGATATAGTAGATTATTATGGCGAGGCCATGTTTTATGGACGGCGTTGAGCAACACCGAGGTGACCTTGAAAAGTAACTGCTTGCTAGGGTGGAAATAGGTTTGTAGATTAATTTAAGGAATTGAGAATAGGAGTTAAAGTTGTAAGTTAGGGTTTTCATCACGAGCTAACATCTATAGTGTCAAAATGTTATTTAGCCATATCGATATATGAATTTCACTTGAAAATTGGAGTCTATCTTAAATCTGGTTGATTCGTCCATAAATTATGGTCCTGTCATAATTATTACTGTTGTTTCTAAATTGTGAACAGCTGAAGAGAAACTACGATATAAATGAACTTACCTTATCCGACTACGTTTATTGTTCTTACCTGAATCAAGTTTTATTTTTACTCACAAAAGTGAACATCAGATGAGTAACGAAAGCTAAAGAACGTTGGAAATACGTTTTAACACGTCAATATGATATCACGTAATGTCATTGAGTGAGATGACCGTGCGGACTACTATGCTTGAATCAATGACACTAATCCCCAAATAAATGACCTGATATTTTAACGTTGTTGCTATGTAGATTTCGTGTCCGCAAACTCAATCAGAATGCGAAAGTGAATCAGCAGATGTAATCGTTGTATCAATGGCTAAGAAATTTACGTGATTAAATACATGAATTACCTGATTATAACTTATCTTAAGTAAGCAGTTAAATATATAATACACATAGAATCTGAAATAAACATCCAGTTTAATAGTCTAATAGATAATTTACAGTAATTTGGAAGCGGTAAAGCTTATGATAGTAGTTAATCAATCGATTGAGAGCTTTCAACTAAGGGGATATAAAAATTATATAGACTGTGTTCGTAAATGCATATTAAAAGAATATGACTACTGGTATCCTGAACAACGCTAAGTTGGTCATTTTCTCTTATTCATTTCGTTCCAAAATTGATCTATATCCCACTTTCCATATTTTTTTACTTCAATCAATTCAGCGGTTTAGTACGACATTTTTAACTAATTGAATTCACCATTAATACCTGAATATTGATATGAGTATGTATTTCATAATATTATTGTCGTTATAAAAATAAATGGATTATGAACGTTTTCTTTTGGCTGTTATGTTCTTTGGATTTTTTGGTTGATTGTAAAGCTTGCATCGTCATACTGGATATCAGTTTTCATGAACTTCCAGTCGATTTCCTAAATTCGAATTAAACAGAGGAGGCGTAGACATTTGACAAGTTTCTAGTTGGTGCATATAGTTGACAACAAATATATCATCCAGTGGTTAATAAACCCCATAAGTTGCCCCTGAAAAATGTTATAATGGAGGGGAACTCATCTGTTTTTGTAGATTTGTAATTGATTTTCACAAATCGATCTGAGT